ATATACAAATATATAATTTAAAAAATACATATTTTTAATACTTTATTAATTAGTAATAATATAAAGTTAATTAATTTATATAGTTATTAAAAAAATATGTATCCTTAATACTTAATTAATTAATAATAATATGTAGTTAATTAATATATGTAATTATAGTATAGATAAAAAAAACATAGAGGATATAATAAAAAAATATTTAAAAAGTTGAAGAGTTAAAACTAAAAATATTAAAGGTTAAAATTGAAAAATAAAAAAATAAATTTTAATATATTTTATTGTCTTATATAGGTGGGGGTATAGAAAAAGTAGGGGAAAAGAAATAGGAGGGGGTTGGGATAGAACACTCCTATGCAAAATATTCGCACTTATAGTATTATAATTGTGAGATACTAAGAGGGGAAATCACTAAGGGACCGTTTACCTAAATGTTTACTCGGTAAGCGCTTATCGTTAAGAGTCAACACTATAATTTATTTTATCGAGTAAGATTGTGGTACATCAAAACGTATATTATGCAACAATTTACTTGGTAAGCGCTTACACGGGTAAGAGTCGTCACCCTCACTTACCGGGTAAGAGTCGTCACCCTCACTTATAAGGTAAGACTCTCCATTCTTATCATCGTTCTTACCGCGTAAGATTATTGCCCATTGTCATGTTCATCCGGTAAAGAAAATTGCACAGTAAGTACTTATTGGGTAAGCGTTTAGTAAACGGTCTCTAAACATGCGTTTGACATGAAAAAAAAGAGAGGACAAGATAGAATAAAACAGAATCAGTCATAACAAGGGTTTAAGTTTCGATCCATATTTGTAGAGTTGATCATCCCTCAAAAAAATAGAGACCAAAGGTTGCTTGCTTTACTTTGAAAAATAAGTAGAAAAAATGTATTATATAATAATAAAAAAAGTAAAGACGTGTTAATGTTTTTTTTCAATAAAGGGCGGAGTTTGAAGAAGTGAGTCTATCAGGAAAAAAAAGTGTTAGTTGTAGCAGCACACATTTGACTAAAAACATGGAAAGTCAAGGCTCTGGGGAACGAGTGGGGAATGTTTAGTATTTGTTAAATAGAATTGGAGAGATCAATTTACTTCTAATGAATTGTTTATATCTTTTACATATTTTAATTAATTCATGTAATTATAATACAGTACATATTTTTATAACAAAATATATAATTAAAATGTGTGGGTCAAAGCAATTACAATGACATAAAAAAAGCTTTTGTAGTTTTCAATTTTTATTTTATATCTTTTTAATA